GGGGGGGGGGCACGACTACTACTACTTTCTCGGGGGCGTCCTGGGCCTACTGGTACAGCTCGTGGACTACGTGATGTATGCCTGTACACACTTGGCACGTTTTTGCATGAAGGAGCCATTTCAGTGCCCAAGCACCATACAAACACAAAGGTTGCAACTAACCTGCAACGGCCCTCAGTGGCCGTCGGCCAAGTACCAAGCGGCTGAATCTGGTGACTGCCGACTTGGTCGTCTCGCTGAACTGATCGTAGCCTTGCTGAGACACTTCGCAGAATGAGGATGGACCAACCAGTCTTCACTAAATAGACATGTACGTGTGCACTATATACACATTATTTTATACACCCAATGTGCTTTTTGTGCTTTGCATGGTGCAGCCCACTTTGCTACCTTTTAATCTGCCCCAACAAAAAGCATGAGTGGACAACAAAGTAATGATGAGAAGGACATCCACAAACAAAAAGCAACCAAAGAAACGACTACAACAAACGAACCATAAGATTCAAGCATGCACACTCATAGAGCCAAAAAACACCACAGTCTCGGGTCAAGCTCACTAATTGAACCATGATTCCCCGACCCTGCTCTGCATCAACCTCTTTGTGAGAACTTGGCTGCGGCATTGGAATGCGAGCCTGACATTGTTCGAAACACCATCTGGCCACTCGACGGCCAACTATACGATTCCAGGAACGCGATTTGATGCAATTTGTAACATTGTCTTCCGACTCTTCTTTACAAAGTGCCATTAGTGCGTACTGTAACACCTTTTGCCGGCTGCGTCCATTCCCAAGCGCACTCTCGCTGCAGTCAAGCGCACTCTCGCTTCTCGGGACCGTGGAGTATGACGAAACTCGAGTAAAGCGGGGACGGCTGTAAGCCAAAAAACAAATCAGAATCAGACAAATCAAGCCTGTCAAGCCTTAAGTCAAGTTTCATTTCAATCGTGTCAAGGTGACCTTGATGTGTCTGACAGCCTCTTCTGCCCTGCAAATCAGCTCTGAAGCTTCAAACACCTTGCTTAGTAACTTTGCTTGAGTTGGAGATCTAAGCTTGGAGCATCGGAAGGGAGGGCGACATAAATCACCACAGTGGCTGTGATGGACGGTGATGAAACCCTCGGGAGCGTGAAGCACGAGCATGATGGATGGAGAGGAGGACCCTTTCGTAACAAGGACGCTACGAACGGAACAAAGGGCATCGCCACGAACGGAGCAAGAACGCTACTAGTAGCTCCTGGCATTACCACTAGGAACAAGGACGCTACTAGCGTCTTGCTCCTAGTAGCGATGCCCTTTGTTACTAGTAGCTTCTTGTTACTAGATGATGTTCCCTTAGAAAGAGGGGTTGTCCACTTCCATGTTTTAGGGGGGGGCCCGGCATCCATTGAGGCAATTGGCACTGGTCTGTCATGCATCAACGCCTGACACAGTGGTTCTTTTCATGCAAGCTATCACTACGTCACTCTCTCTCTCTCTCTCTCTCTCTGTATCTTTTTTCACTCTTCCACTTCCAGCTCTTGCCAGAACCTCTGGAAAGTCGGGCTGAATTTTCATCGCACCCAGCTTCCTCACTTCCATCCTATGATCTACGATCTATGCTATGTACTGAGTTGCTACTGACTGCGGCCTACGTAATCTGAGGACAGACGTCTCACCCCATCGCTCCAACGGTCTCCGACATCTGCCGCGGACGGCCTCACTGGTGCACACGGTCGCTCTGGCCTCAGCGGCAAGGAAGCAAGTATTGTGATAGGTATTGTGACAAGTATTGACAAGTCATGGCAGGGACCCTAGTAGTCACAACCTCTGTGTATTTTTTCTCGCCCTGGACCACAAAAGACGCATGGACTCTGTTCTGAAATGGAAACACTTGGCGCTTTGTCTCCACTGCTCCAAGGGTCAGCTAACTGAAGTGAAAGACTTCGCCCGAAACTAAGATCTGCCTTTGCCAATGGCATCCAATGGCACAAGCAGCGCCGAGCGCTGTTGCTGCAAACTTGAGATACATGCCAGTCGCCATGTTGCAGGACCGAGTCACATACATTACGTCAACCTGTGTCAGTAGCTCTCGGGTCAGCTGGTGAGCCCCTTGATTTGCAAAGCTCTTTGCACAGCTTTCTACGCCATCGTTGTAGCAAGGACATTTCTTCTCCACCTTATCTTTTTGTGCAGGTCGGTGTTGAAAGCCCGTGCGGGAGGGCAATATCTCTGGAAGCTGGCATTCAGTTTGATTTCCAGGTGGCTAGTGCTCACATGCATGAAAAGATTGTGCAATCCGGCAATTGGTAGAGCAAGGGCAGCACGGGCTGGAATACGTTCAGCTTTTGCTTTCATCTTCAGACATCACATGGCGCCAGGTCCGTATCCACTGATCTTCATGTCTCCACGGGAAAGGTCACAGTAGTGGTGAAGATCATCCCCGCCTTTCGGCATCAGCACTGAATCTGGTTCGACTATGCTCCCCAAACATGGCTTCACTTCGGGGGCAGGGCCAAAACTACAGGAGCTAACGAGTCATCCTGCTTATCTCCTGCTTCGTCGGGTATTCCGGCTATTCCATGGCTATTCCATTCTCCCATCCCACCTCAAAACCTTCAGGCACTTGCAGTTCGTAGTGCCTCCCGAGGTACTGCACCGAGATGCTATCACCAGCAGTGACGCCTCGACGGTGATCTGTTCTCCGAAATCCGTTCGGCAAACTGTTTGCTCCTAGTAGCGTCCTTGCTCCTGGTATATAGTAACAAGTGCATCGCTAGTAGTAACAAGTGCCTTACTAGTAGTAACAAGAAGCTAGTAGAAACAATAAGCTAATAGCTTCTTGCTCCTAGCAGCGATGCCCTTTGCTCCTAGTAGCGATGCCCTTTGCTCCTAGTAGTAAGGACAGGAGCCCCTAGTAGCTTCTTGTTCCCACTAGAAAAAAAACACCCTCAACAAGGATTGCAAGATATTGCAAGCGAGAGGCCTTCAGGCACCCTCACCGATAAGTCTTCTGACACCATGCAGTGATCCTGATCTGGTGGCAGGGGGACCTGATGACGAGCGCAAAGTTTGCTCATTGTGAATCAATTGAGGAATGCAAATCACTTGCCTCTCTCTCTCTCTCTTCTTCTATCCCTCCCTCCCTCCCTCTCTCTGAGACCAGCTTCTTCTGGTTCTCCTTTTTAACATTTGACGTCCTGATCAATCCTTTGCTCAGCGACTGTTGGCTCTAATCTTCCGCTTGCAGCGGCAAACATGACCTGCGAGAGAACAGCACTGGAGGTCAGTTGAGAAGCCAACGTGCTCACAACATGATCAAACTAACGGCTAATGCTTTGCACATCAAACAATTTGGTTCCTTGCTGAACCAATATTTTTGAAACATCCGTGCTGGCCGACATTTGATTCCTGCTTCGAAGAAACCAGTGTTGTTTCTGCTGTTTTTTTTCTCATAGCTCGCGCGTGTTCTTGTGCGCTTTTGACAGCGAACATTGACTTTTTTGATGTGTTTTGTTGCGCTGTTCGATCCTGCTCCTTTACGTTGGCTTTTCTCTCACCCATTCGCAGAAAGGCGTGTGTCCCATTAGTCTTTTTCACCGCATTGCGGGACAGTGTGGGACAGGGTCGACCACTGACGACCCAACGGTGTGCGAAGTCGAACGAAAACTGAGGTCCAAAAGCCATGTTCGTGCAATGTTACGAGAGAAACCAATGAGTCCAAGTAAAACACATCTACTGGAGCACACTGTTTCAAGATGTTTCAAGGGTTCAAGCAACAAAGTTGCGAGAAAGTCTCAACAATGACACGAAACAAAGGGAAGCCAAACTCTTGGACTCTTAGACTCAACTCCCTCATGGAGCTCTCCGCTTCTCCAATTGTCAAGCTTGTTAACAACGAACGTTGCAGTGTCAAGATTCCCAACGAAGCCCACCAAGAACAGGGAGCAGCTCGAATGGAGTCAGCATGAGTCAGCAATCAATGTGTCGCGGAAGGGTGGCAAACAAACAATAGCCGTCAAATGCATTCCACACAAAGTGACATTGAAAAGTGACAATCTGATCAAATCACCAGCCGGTTTACAGTCGCTGAAACTGAACCATGGGAACATCCACAAGTCAAACCTCCATGGCACTGTGAGACAGTGAAACCAAGCAAGACATACTCCTTACTTGATCAATCATGTAGGACTCGCGTGTGCTATTGTGCTATTGCGCGCTTCTCTGCTTTTCGACGCATGGGCTAGTGGCCTCGCCTGGAGTTTGGCTGAAGTCAAGGGCGATCCGATGCCTCTTTTTTCTAGCCTTTCCAGATCTAGACCGGAAGAAAACACATATTGAAGGGTTCAGTTACAAAAGTAAGCCTTCTTTCAGCAAACTCTCGAGGACTGAAGTTGTAACGGGGACTCTGTTAGTTGGAGGCCATTGCTATTAGGATGAAGGCCATTGCTGTTAGGTTCGAGGCCATTGCCATTTGGTTGAAGGCC